AATACCGAATGAAAATTCGTTTGATCAGCACTTTCGACCACAGTCGACCACATTTTTCTAAAATACTTCTCAATTTACATTTTAAAGTTTTTTCTCAAACTTGAATGTAACTCTGTGCGGAGAATGAGAGAATTGAAAATCAGGTGATCTCAGCTGTTTTCAAATGTAAACAAACAAAATGGCGATTTCCATACTTGTAAGCCTATACAATGGCGTAAACGAACACAGTTGAATTTTTCTTCTTTCTTGCACAAGACGTCAAAATTATTGGCCCTTATTATGAGTTGCATTCGATTTTCTATCTTCGCTGGTTATCGAAGATCGAAAGTGAAATTCGTATTATGAGCTATGCAACCGTGTCGAAATTTTCGTTGAGTATCGAATTTTCCGTCGAACAGAATTTTCCTTTTAATGGTGAAGCGAAGTGTTAGAAAATTGTTAAAAATGTATGATTTTTCATTTGTTTTCTTACTTTTTGGCGGCTAGACATTAGTTTTAAACAATTTTTATTAATTTCATGCTGTTCTAATGTCGTGAATGCTAAACACAAGCTGGAAAGGCTGGTTTTACTTGTGAAAGAAAATCCCAATAATCAGTTGGCAGTAACTGCCATACCTAAGCAAAAGCGTTGGGCGGAGCGGTTTCCTAACGCCCTGTCAAAATCAGATTTTCCAACCGCTCAGCGTTGACGCCGCGTTTTTCGGTATGCTTCATACAAATTGTATGCGCATGAGAATTTTTTGACAGCCAGACAACGCTGACGCTTTTGTTTAGGTATGACAGTATCTCTGAGTTTTCTGCTCCTGGCCAGTTTTCTAAGCTCTCGTCCTCTGACGAATCGATGAACCAGAACTCCGTTGTACTAATTTTTACGTTTTTATATACTACTATTTGCAAATAAAAATAATTTGCAAATTCCTAACTCACTGTTTATTCGATGGTGGAAAGTTCTTTTTTAATATTGCCTGATTATAAAAGGTAATAATATGACCATCGAAAAAGAAAATAAAGTTAAACATGGCAACGTCTTGATTATAAAAAGGCAATAAGACGACCATCGAAAAAGAAAATAAACCTAAGAATGGCGGCGTCTTGCGCTTATTTGCAAATAGTACCACTAATCAATACTTATTTGCGTGATTTAGTTATTTGCAAATATAAAATTATCTCAGCATTTATACGGCAAATTTTACCGTTTTGCAAATTGTTATTTGCAAATAATAAGTGCGTATAAACGTAGTAATAGACTCGCTTTCTTTTTTATTTCACTTTAATTTGTACAAATTTACATATGTAAAAGCACACTATTTAGTTTGCTCGATGTGTAAACAAAGCTTCTCAGCGGTGAAAAATATACTATTGTGAACAACCTAAACGAGCGAAATTCCCAATAGCGCTGTTCTTCGTCGAATGAGCGCCATAATACCGAATGAAAATTCGTTTGATCAGCACTTTCGACCACAGTCGA